ACAAAATAAAGAAGACAAAAAAGTGAGCAAACAGTAAAACATCTCCTACCTGAGTAAGCATCTCCTGTTCATGTAGGAGAAGCAGTTTGCTTTCAGAGCCTTCTGACCTCTGCTCCAGCACGAGGGAGAAGTGCTCGATGCATCTGATCGACAGTTTCTCTTGCAGAGTCAGGATCACATTCTAAACACACCAATAGCAATGTTTTCTACTGTTCAGTGGGTTTAGTGGCGCATCGTTTCGCAGTTAGTGTACTGAAGTCAATGCCCTCAATTAAACTTTCTTCAGCAATCGCACCACCATCTGAATTTTTTCCCATCTTTGCAATGCCTCCATTTCTTATGCGCAACACATTCTGGAAGAAAAATGTAAATAAACACATGCTACAAAAATAAATAAATAAATGAAAAAAAGCACATTTTTTTAGTGTGCAGTGACCTTTGTGCAAACTTAGTGTCTGACTTATGATACATTTGCATTCTCTACACACAAACAAAAAAAAGTTTGTTACCTTGCCTTAAGAAAGGAAGGGTGAAAATGCTGTGGTGGAAACTATGTGCAGAGACATTTAAAATGCTGCAGAAGAGGACTGGAGCAAAGCCCTATTCTCAGCATGTTGTCTATACAAATGATCATTTTCTATAATACATACTAAAACATGATAGAAACTGGTGTTTGGCAACACAGCTGACACATATTTGATCACTTACGTTGTGCCTTTTAGGCCTTGATTGTATTAGATTTCTCTTTTTCTCTGAAAAACCTGTTCTGTAAAGCAGTTTAAAAGAATAAATTCTGGAATAGAATTCATATAAGCACAATTATGAAGATAGCATGTATTTCATATTAACCAAAAAAACAAAAAGGGGGTGTCATTTCTGGCCCATCTATTGAAGTGTAGGTTCCAATAGAAACATAAAAAACAACTGTATTAATCAGTATTAGACTGACTTATTAAGGTAACATTATAAAGCTGAGAAAAGGCAGTAACTATGTTTCCTTGCAACCCACAGTGGATCACATCTAAATAGGAATTCACAAGTCAAACAATATGAATTTTTGCCACCTTGCCTGAATAGATACAAACAAATAGAATTCAAGATTCAGTTTCATCATCTGTGTGAGTGAATCAAGGAACACTCATTTGGACTCAAAATGAATTCCTCCTTTGCAATTTTAGATTATGCAAATGTTCTGAAGTCCCACAAACACACACCTTAACAGAGGTACTGCTATCGAAGCGAAATGACTTTGTCTGCCCATTCTCCAGGTAGACCTTCAGGACATTTGGCATGAACAGAAGAGAATTGTCCTTCACCGGATTCTGCAAAGAAGGAACATGATCAGTGTTTTCATTCTGTACATTTGTGTTCACTTTAGCATAAAACAGGTTAAGTTTAATATGTGAAAGGACGTCATAAAGCCACATCTTTGCCATTGCTGATATACATTAAATGATACATAAGCATTTGTGCGTGTGTGTGTGGTAAAACTGACTGGAACCTGGCCGTTTATAATGACCTCCTCTGCAAAGCGCACTTTGACCGGATTGGACTTGAGCATGGCTTTTTTGGCTGCACTGATGAACGCTGATTTAGGGGACTAAGAGGCAAAAATCCAAAAAGAGAGCCAGAGAGAGAGAAACAGAGGAGGCAAAGAGGAAGAAAGAGACAGATGGTAGGAGAGAGATAAAGTCAAGCACAAGCACAAATGAAGATGGAAAAAGCATTACAACCATTGTTGGAGCAAGATTTCCACATTTATATCAATGCACAGATTTTGTGAAATTGGGAAGAAAATGTTTTGCAACTTTTGCTTTTTATGTAGAGTCATGGTGCAATACAATAAAAGGTGTCAAGTGTAGGATGCTGGATGAATAAATGCCATTTGATATATAAATATATACTGTATATATAAATACTGCATATAGAAGTTATTTCCTTGACCTTGGGAACTGCACTGGATAAAAGTGTGTTCCCTCAAGCTCCATTAATAGCTGATTTTCACTGGCATATTGGGATGTAATGGAAATGAAAATATTACCATTAAAATCTTTTCTGAGCAATGAAAGACTTCTTTTCTATGTTAGCTTAATAGTTGAGTTTCAAAGTTAATGCTTGACATTGGAAATACTTGATAAACTATTGTTCTGATGAAACAACTCAGCCAAGTCAATCTCCTGATGAAGGTCATGTGATATGGTAGAAAGCGCCAGCATTAATGGCCATGAAAAAAACCCAGTGTTTTTACTAGCTTTTGGATATGCAAGGGGGCTCCATGGCATAGAGTAGGATTAATTCTTTGTTTTTCTGGCCTTTTTATGGGATTCATTAACAAAAGTATCAACAGGTTTATTGTTTAAATGCAGAGTTTAACAGGCCTTGAGGACAATCCAGCTGAGAGCAAACTGAGGGTGCAGGCAGGATTCAGAAGGATACTACCACTGTCCAGACAGGGGACACTAAATCATCATGCTCATGATCTTATTTTTGATAGTTCTATAAAAGTATTAATGAATCATTGTGTCAACAATGTAAATATTTTTTTATAAAATGCAACCTGTAGATTCTGTAAATATTCTAATCTGAATGACTAATAAAGTGTTTAATGCATGTGGTGCACAGGGCCTACAGTAGCTAAAGGGGACAGATGTAAACAAAACATTATATTTGGAGATACAGTACAGTACATACCCAGCAACCCTTGTTCTAGATTCAAATATCATATTATATCTGACACAATGTTTGCAGTGTTCTCCAAAAACCAGAAGACCTACTCACAGGATACGGTTGGACAACAGTCAACATAATGGATTCTTTGCAGCTCCTGAGCCGAGAACACAGAAAATCACTCAGTCAACAAAATGATCAGAGAAAAAAAATCAATCATAGTCAAACACAATGGCAGATAAATAACAGGGACTTGATTAGCTTGGGTGAACTGGAATGAGATGCCTCTGGCAATCACCACTTACACGTAAACACAGTCAAAACTAGAAGCACACACACACACACACACACACACACACACACTCATTAGTTTGGCATTTAAAAAGATACACTGGTGCTTCTTGTGACCCGAAATATGATTTGACTCATGGTATATTGTGTGTTTTTAGTTTTCTGATTACTTTTGAATATTTATGCTTGTGGGATGAGGAGAACTGCTTTATCTAAGTATGAGCAGATTGAGTGAAAAGCATTACTAATACTTGTGAAGAACTTCATTAGAATTTTGTGAAATGACTCTTGATTTTAAATGCAAAATTAATGATAATGGCCTTGTTGAATTGTGACTTTGGCACTGGTTGCTGTTTTTCCTTTCTATGATGAATGTGGACCTGCCATTTAAACTGTTTCAAACTGGTTTAATTAGAGCATAACAAAATTACATGGACCATCGGATTAAGGCCACTGAGGCCTGAAATGAATCATATAATGCTACATTATGTTACAATACAGTACACAACCCCGCATATAGCATTGGAATTGACAGCTGCTAACAGTTTTAAAGGATAACTTCACCCAAGTTATTTTCTGGGCTGGTGGCATATATCTCAGCACAAAAAAATCTCTGGACAAATAAAACTATGTGCAGGTTTTTTGGTATTTCTTTAGAAACCCCACACCCTGGCTGACCTGAGCTGAACTGCTAGGGCCTTGGCTTTTGGCAGGTCACAGTGTCCCAGAAGATTGTGTATCTACCTGACAAGGTCGATGACTCTTTCTCTGGGAGCAGAGCTGACGGGTTCATTGTTGATCATAATGATCTCATCGCCTGGCAGCAGCTTCCCCTCTGATGGACCACCTACACAAACACATGTAAACAAGCCATAGTTGATCATACTGCAGAGTTTTTGTCCTAGTTTTAGTCTGTTAGTCAAAGACACTCCGTGACTGCATCATAGAGAGTCTGATTAATGGACACTGCAAATGTGTGACTGCCTTCTGACACATGTAAAAGGTGTTGGCATTAATCTATTGTTTTCAGTGCACAGTATCCCCTTCCTTGTCCAACCACTCTAAACAGAATATTCATTAGTTTAAAGCAACTGTCTGCTTGGAATTCAGCACTGATTGATTACTGAGATGCCTAATCACCATGTGTGGCCATGGCTGAAAGGAGTCTGTAAGCAGTGGTTTGGCAGTAATGTGACAATCAGCCAATAGACCAAAGTAAGCACTACCTTTAGGAAAAACATTAATTTGTGTTCATTTTCTTTCTCACATGGGGTTAGTATTGCTTGGTCATTCAGTGACGGGCAGGAGAAGCCAACAGTCGTCATGGTTTCATTCTAAACTATCATTACCAAAACCATTTGCACAAATTAGCATGCTTCAAACAGTAAGGAGGAACATTTGGACATTTCTATATGTAAATAATCCCTTATGTTGCTTTAAAAACTTTGCTCCATATATTGTCCTTTGGGAAAATATATGCCATTTGACGTTAGGGCTGCAGGTCAGAGGCAAGTCCAAGTCTGGGCAGTTGTGACTTCAAGTGAAGACTGAATCCAAAACAAACAACCAAACAAAACATTTTTTTAAATATTTCTTTTATTGTTGTGTTGCTTTTTATTGTAGAGTCAGCTGTGACATAACTTCAATAATTCATTCAGAACAGTTTGAAACATTTGTTAAGATTATGATTGCAAAAAAAAAGCAGTTATAGTAGAAACAGCATATTATTGCAAAGCATGTCAAGCTAACTGTTAAATTATGATCAATGTCCACTAAACTACATGTCCAAAATCAGGATGCTTAGCAGCAAAGACTATGACAGTTAGCATGCCATGAAGTGTAAACTGTGTAAACAACAGTGCAGCATGTGACATTATACATATCTTTGTGTTTGTGATGAACTGACAGCTGACTGTGGCAAAGCAGCTCTGCAGCCATGCATGCTGGGAAGGAAAAACTGTAATTTGCAAGATTGGCACTGGAGAGCTAGACAGCGCCCAAGTGAAAATACCCACCTGACGTAACAGAGCGGACCACCACCGGTTTCTCACTTCCTGCCACAAAGCCGAAGCCCAGAACAGGGTCCCTTCTCATCTCCACCAGACGAGGGGCGGGGGGGACGCCATCCAGGTGAACCTCCTCCAGGGAGCTGCTCTGGGACACTTGACTACAAAACACAGGAAAGGAGGAACAAAGTGAATAACAATCAAAACATATTTAGTCAAAGAATGTCAAAGGTTATTTTGACTTCACTTACAGTGTAGTTAAAGCAATTTGCTACCTATCCAGAGTGACGTACGGGTCAGACACTGGACACTTCACTACGAGAAGGTCTCTTGAAGAATAAAGTGCACATTAAAATTCAATTAATGCATCTATTCCTACAGTGCAATAGATTTAGCTCAGACAGATATCATTAAACGTAGAATGAATAATTTAAGTTATTGAATCAGCTGTTCATAAATCAGTCTTGGCTGAGGTGTGGTCACTGGCACAACATTTTATGCTTATGAACCACTTAAAAAGAAAGCATTTGTAATCTGAATCTAATTTTCTTCTTACTTCCATATAAAAGTCTAACGACTATTCAAATAAAAGTGTACAGGTCTTTTAATAAAGTCACAGTTTATTCATTTTTAATGAGTAATGGAATTATTCATTTACTTTTACAGTATATATGCTCTATAAAGGTCCTTTCTCTTCTTTCTTTGCTGCTGTTGATTACTTTCATAATAAGGATAATCACCTTCATTGGCCAAGTATATTACACACAAGGAATATGTTTCCAGTACAGAACCGAGGCAGCCATCTGCGGCGCCAACTCAACCGATGCCTCAGGGGCAACTTGGGGGTTCAGTGTCTTGCCCAAGGACACTTCGACACGTTGACTGCAGGCACCGAGATTCAAACCTTCAACCTTCAGGTTGGGAGACGACTGCTCTACCCACTGAACCACTGTCGCCTCCTATCAGTCTATTATCTAAATAAGTCTATTATCCAGTCAATTAGCCAAGATATTGAACAGCATACGACTGTGTGCAGTGAGAGGGTATGCTATAAAAGAAGACCTCAAAATGACATGTGCCAGCTGGAAACAGTGAGAAGTTGGAGACATTGTTTTCAACCAACTCATAGAGTTACGTTATCTTAATTAGCGAGCTGGCTACAGTTGATGAACTCTGCCAGTGACAGCTGTCATTTCAGTCAGCAAAACTGATACAAATGAAAAGCCTAGTTTTTCTCAACCATTCTCTGAACCCAAGTTGCTGTTGCATCAAGTGCTTTGAATAATTAATCTGGCCTTGTTATCATTGTAAACTGTAACAATTGGGCTGAGCGAGAATGAAAAGCTTGACAGTCTGTTTAACAACATTTCCTGGGTATACCGAGTATCTTTTTGAGCTGCCTTGTAAGTTTGATGATGTGAGTTTATCAATAGTCATTTTTATGTATGTGACTGTGGTCCAAAAACTCCTGAGGCTGGTTTTCGGTTTTATGCTTAGGTGGATAAAGTAATACCAATAGATGTGCATGGCCAGCTGAGCAAATGTGACTTAACTCAGTTGTGGTTTTTGAAGTTATTACTTTTTTTTTTTTTTTCTGCAGCATCTCATTTAGATTTCACCCAGTATGACTGCTGAATAATGCAAAATAGCACATCTATAAAGTTGCTCTTTTTAAGAAAAGAAAGGTAAAACCTGGTGCCAAGTTTCCTGATTAATGATTATTCTAGAATTGCTGGTGGCTGTATGGGGCCACCAACATTTCCTACAACTTTAATGTAGGTTCATACTGGTGAAATTTCACTTTGTCCCATCCTTGGCCTTATTACCAGTAACTCAGAATGAGAGTACCACTAAAATGTAAATGTACCATATTAAATTAAACCTTCCTGCTTGCTGAGTTTCAGATGTCTATCTTGACTGGAGCACTGAGAATGCAGGGTGCCTGTTAATTAGGAGGTGATATACACTTTCAGTGGGGTTAACTCTCTCTGTCTCTATTTCTCCTTCCTTCCCTCTTTCACAGCTTAAAAAGCTCCCCTGGCAGCCGTTGCTTCCTCTCTGGACATAAAGTCCGGTACAGGATGTCTATTGTTACCTGGCCAACATCCACTCCATCTTTGTCTGTTCATACAGGCGAGCACATGGATTTCCTACCTCATCCATCCTAACCTTCACACAGCCACAGATGTTTTATTTGTTTGCATACACTGTTGAAATTGTGCAAGTATATGATTTTGGCAACACTCACTAAACTAATTTCTCACCTTTGTCAGGAAATACTGTTTTCAGGTTTTGATCAGTGTAGCCTTATCTAGTTTAACACAATTTATATACTGTACCTGCAGCTTTCCCTAAATCTGCACTGATGATAAAGTGTGTTCCCTCCATCCAGGATGCAACTTTATCTCCAGCCAATCTGGATCAGTCTTGATCTCTGACCCACCTCCTACCTTCTTTTCCTTTTGCGCTCTCGCATTCTCTTCCTCTCTCATTATGACACTGCTCTGTATTGTACATATGGCATATAAATCTGAAACTAAATCTGTCTACAACGAAGCAGTCTGTGATGCCAGCTCTTTGTTCCTGTCACAGTCAATGGGGTTTTAATCCCACAGAAGGGCAGAGCAAGGATGTGAGGGGGTCGAAGAAAAGCTGAGTACAAAAGATCAAATCCAGGTCTTTCTGATAATCATGAACAGAATACAGTACAGCACCCACACCCTTAAATTCACAATGGTGACAGGCTCAGGTCTCATTCTAAAAGTAAATGTTGAGGTTTCTATCACTGATCCATGACCAACTTGCCTTAGTTCCCCCCACACCACTCCCTTTCACTACATTGATTTCCTGGTCCACTTCAAGACAGATGTATCTATTAACAATTTCTCAACTGAAATTCAAAAAAGCACCTTATTAGTAAATCCAACAGTTGTACTATTTCACATGTTAGGAGGTTTTATCCCATCCATACATCAAGGACAATAGAATTCTCCAAAAAAGAAAAGAAAGGAACCGGCATTAGGTGGATCAACTGTAAATATTTTAGGAATTCTAAAATACTGTAGAGCCTACATAGAGAGTAGTATTCAAAAGCCTGCTTGCATCATGTTAGGTAAGGTTAGGGGTGTTACAGTATCTGTCCAGTATAATTAAATCAGTTGACTCTCTTTCCC